GCTGTTGGGGGGCTTCAAGCGCAACAGCAACAAGGAAGAGTTTAGGTACTAATTAAAACAAATGGAAGTCCTATAAGCTACCTGAGCAAGGAAGTGACAAGCTCAGAGCTGGTTCCTATGACAAAGCCTGTGAGAGTTAGTCCAACAGCTCGGAAGAGAAAGAGAGAATGATGGTCCCTTCCTGGCCTCAGGCAGGGACTCATTGCATTGGTGCTTCTGAACAAAATGGACCAGAATGAAGCCGGTGGTTTTTAGAATCAGAGAGCACAGTTATTGTGGAATGGTGGAATAAACCACTGCTTGAGATACCTGCATCCCATACTGGAGGGCTGGGTCATCTTGGATGAAGCATAAGATGACTCAATGGGAGAGCTGGACAGCGTCACTCCTGGTTTAGGTCTGATCCTGCCCGAGCTGTTGTGGCCACTGGAGAATTAACCCAGTGATTAGAAAGGTTTCCTCTCTCCCTCTCTGTCTGTTTGCCTCTGTCTCCCTCTAATTTATTCATTCACGTAGATGAAAATAAATACTTTAAAAAGCGAAGGCTAATGTGAGAGACCTGGCCCGAAGGAAACCACAGCATCCTGGTAACGATGGGTTGGGGAAATGGGTCCTGAGCAAATGCAGGAGCCCAAGCAGTCCTGACGGAGAGAGGAGCAGCAGTGTGGGGCTTGGAAGGCAGGGGCTGGCTCTGCTCATGGATGAATGTGTAACACTTGAAACAGCAATGAGGCCATCTGATGAGGCATCCAATTGCAAATCAAAACGATGGTCATGGAGATGGGAGGGAAAAGTTAAGAGCAGAAATCACGTGTGTGCGTAATTTAAGGACAGCTTCTGGTTGGAGCCAACAGGAGTTGTATGAGCAGTGAAAGGGGGGAGGTGCTGGCATGAAAGACTCAGACCCCGTGGGGCTGTATTACTGAATAAATACGTGGGTAAAGCATTAATTCCATGTAAGTACCACAGAATATATACAAATAGACTCAAGCTACATTTAAAAACAATAATAGGATATTCACAAAAGCTATATGCCAGTTTTAAAAATTTGCGTATTAACACAGTACAGATAAGTTGGAGCAAGTTGAATGGAAAATTTCCACCCTAGTGATGCATCAACTAGAAGAAGACACGAGTGTTTTAGCAGTAAGTGAACTGAAATGCAAGGGAAAGGTGTTGTGAGGACTCAACAATGTCACAGACCAGTGACAGAAAAATAATTCACTAGGAAATACAGCTAGCTTGGAAGTTTAAGCCTACTATCTCAAAATACATAAAGAAAAAAGCTGACGGAATCGGGACAGACACTTGTCCCAGCGATCAAGATGCTGCGTGGGATGCCTGCATCCCATGAGGATCTTGGGATTGGAGTTCTGGATTCCCTCAGTTGTAGCTCGTTGTTTATATGTACGTTGGAAAGCAGCAGTGTTAGCTCAGCTAGTTGGAGCCCTGCCATTTGTGTGCAAGACCTGGACTGAGTTCCCAAGTTCAAGCCTCCGTCCTCACTGCCTGTCTGTCCATTAGAGACATTTTGTAGGAAATACAATAGAAGATCCCTGTGTCTCTCTGCCTCTCAGATGAACTAAAACACCACAGGAAGTAATTGCCTTATTAGAAAAATGGAACCTAAAATGCCAGTTGGGATGTGTATGTTCCATATTAAATTACTTGGGTTCAAGAACTGTTCCTGCTTAGGTTGGTGTGCACCCGGGGGCGGGCAGTCACCTGGGTTTCTTCACCCATGTGATCAGCAATGATTCAGCTCAATGAGGGCTGCTGTGGCGTTTGTCTCTCTCTGCCTCTCCAATAATAATAAAGGACAGAATTTTAAGGACAAATTAGTCATGGGGGGAACTAAAAGTTTGTACAAAATGGCAGGAAGCAAAAAAAAAAAAAAAAAAAAAAAAGGCTGAGAACAAAGCTTCAGGTAATGACCACTGAGTAACTGGCGCAGTATCAGTGTGGCATCCAGAGGGAGCTCTCACGTGAGCTGCAAAAATCAGGTCTTGTTGGTTTACAGATTGTGAAAGGCGACACCAGACACATCGTAGAAGAAAACAGACAACATCATCTTGGTATTAGAGTAGAGGGAATAGTTAATTAAGCAAGAAGTAGAAACAAAATAAAGAATGGGAATTTTTTCACTGAATTCCCATATATCCATTAGTTCAATTTCCAAATGTCTGCAGCAACTTGACAGGCTGAAGCTGCGAGTGGGGTGTACAATTCAGCTCTGGGAAACTGTGTCTCCAGGACACAGTCCTGTGAGTGTGGCACCACTGTCCACACAGGGCCGGCCTCTCATGGGGACGTGGCACCGCTGTCCACACAGGGCCGGCCTCTCATGGGGACGTGGCACCACTGTCCACACAGGGCCGGCCTCTCATGGGGACGTGGCACCGCTGTCCACACAGGGCTGGCCTCTCATGGGGACGTGGCACTGCTGTCCACACAGGGCTGGCCTCTCATGGGGACGTGGCACCGCTGTCCACACAGGGCCTCTCATGGGGACGTGGCACCGCTGTCCACACAGGGCCTCTCTTGGGGACGTGGCACCGCTGTCCACACAGGGCCGGCCTTGGGGACGTGGCACCGCTGTCCACACAGGGCCGGCCTCTCTTGGGGACGTGGCACCGCTGTCCACACAGGGCCGGCCTCTCATGGGGACGTGGCACCACTGTCCACACAGGGCCGGCCTCTCATGGGGACGTGGCACCGCTGTCCACACAGGGCCGGCCTCTCATGGGGACGTGGCACCACTGTCCACACAGGGCCTCTCTTGGGGACGTGGCACCGCTGTCCACACAGGGCCGGCCTCTCATGGGGACGTGGCACCACTGTCCACACAGGGCCTCTCTTGGGGACGTGGCACCGCTGTCCACACAGGGCCGGCCTCTCATGGGGACGTGGCACCGCTGTCCACACAGGGCCTCTCATGGGGACGTGGCACCACTGTCCACACAGGGCCTCTCTTGGGGACGTGGCACCGCTGTCCACATAGGGCCTCTCATGGGGACGTGGCACCGCTGTCCACACAGGCCCGGCCTCTCATGGGGACGTGGCACCGCTGTCCACACAGGGCCGGCCTCTCATGGGGACGTGGCACCGCTGTCCACACAGGGCCGGCCTCTCATGGGGACATGGCACCTGAGGACTAGGCTCAACATTGTCCTAGGGCTGATAAGTTCAACTTATTAAATCTGAGCATTTCTGTTTGTCAAATAGCACCATGAATGTGGTGAGAGCATATGACTCAAACTGGAAGTAGTTAACTAATGAAGGATTACCGTGTCAAATATGTTAAAGGAAGCAGGGAACTTGGATGTTGTTTGAAACTTGTAAAGAAAACAAAGACTGCTTCCCTTGCTCCCTGCAGTTGTCCTATGAGCTAGGGAAGACCACAAGGACCATCCCTAATGATTGAAATCCTAGTTGAATTAGAACCAAGTGACTCAGCCTTGGGAATGCACACAAAGCATCAGACACATTGAGCAGAGGAACAGAGAGGAGAGAATCCGGTTCCGGCAAGCTTCCAAGTTAGCAATGGCCAACTGCTGGGGCTCAGAGGAAAATCCCTTCCGTGAACCACAGAAGCCAAGGGTGTCAGGTGCATCTCTGGGAGGGGAGCAAACAGGCTCTTGCGCAGTCAGCTATGTTCCTGAAAGATGGAGGGCGACCACGAGGGGGCGCTTCCGGGCCAGTACAGTCTCCCAGTGACAGCAGCTTTGGTGACGTGTATGAGTGAATCCTCTCCAAATCTGCGACAGTGAGAAGCCTTGGCTCACTGCCTTCATCCGCGTGCGCCTGCTCTCTCACCTGGAAGCTGCAGAAATGCTTCCACGTCTCTGTGTGTGTTTTCTGGAGAGGGTTTTGCCTGCTCCAATCAATCCCTCCAGATGACTTGCCACCCTTTGTGAAAAGCAGCTGAGCTCAGCTGCCTTTGAGAGCAGAGCCCCCTTGTGAAGGCCTGATGGGCATCCAGCCACAGGATTCTGCTTCACTGGTTCAGTGAGACAATTTGAGATGAAACACCACTGTTTTTTCATTTACCGAGCCTTGGTTTCTCATTTACAGATGAAGCATGCTGGAGCTTGCTCATCTGTCAGGACAGGGGCAGGGATCAGTCAAGTTAATGTATCCAGACTGCGTTCCCTGCCTGGTATCGAGCCAGTGGTTGGTAAATGTTAGCCCCAGTTGTTTCTGCTTGCCCTAAGGCTAATTATTCTGTACTTGGATGATATTTCACTTGGATGGAAGGAAGGTTCCAGTAGCTTCTGGAGGACAGTTGAGAAAAAGCAATGTTTCCAGCATTCCTTGGGGAGTGTGTATGTGTCCATTTTTGACTTGTCCAGACTAGCATATGAGACCCAACTCTGTGTCAGTAAGAACGTAGGCCTCGAAGCACAGCTCTGAGCCACCGTTCACAAGCCAAGGTGAAACACCAGCCCTAGCCCGTCATCAGTGGAAACGCTTCCCTGCAGGAAACCTGTTCCCTCAACCCTTTCGGTGGAGGCAATCAGCGACTTTCAGCTGAGTTCCCGAAGGAAATGACGCTAAAAGCTGGCTGCACATACTTCATTAACTCCAAGGCAGAAAGAGCCATGTCTTAGCTGTTTAAGGAGCTATGGAGCCTGAGAAGGGCTGTGAGCTCAGCAGAGTGAGCACGGGGGTCCAGTGAGGGCCCTGATGCCTGGAGGGGTTACATGGCAGAGGGCTGTGAGCTCAGCAGAGTGAGCACGGGGGTCCAGCGAGGACCCTGCTGCCTGGAGGGGTTACATGACAGAGGGCTGTGAGCTCAGCAGAGTGGGCATGGGAGTCCAGCGAGGATCCTGCTGCCTGCAGGGGTTACATGGCAGAGGGCTGTGAGCTCAGCAGAGTGAGCACGGGGGTCCAGCGAGGGCCCTGCTGCCTGCAGGGGTTACATGACAGAGGGCTGTGAGCTCAGCGGAGTGAGCACGGGGGTCCAGCGAGGGCCCTGCTGCCTGCAGGGTGTTACATACCAGTTCCTTCTTCTTCATGCATTCCATGAGGATGATGAACAGGTGCTGAGCTTGGGTTCGTGTGTAGGTGAAGGTCTTCTGTATAGTCACCAACAGCTGGTCCCTCAAAGATTCATTGATGAGCCTGCAGTTAAAAACAAGCAGAGGTCATCCTGGCTGCGAGTGCGTGCGTGTACTTCTCGTTGTTTTTAATTCACATGTAATTATGCATAGTGTCTCATGTCAGTACATGCATATATGAAGCATATATATATTATAGCTGTCCCCTCACACATTTGTCATCCTGTGGATGACACCACTCCAAGTGCTCTCTTCTGGCTATTTCAAGCTATTCAACAGGATACTCTTCACCCTACTGCCTTCTGTGTAGCAGAAATACTACAGGATACAAGAAAGCATTACAAGGATTCACTTTAGACAGGAGTTGTTTTTCCTCTGGTTTTCTTGACTGAGCATTTCAAAAGGTCATTTAAAAATAAATCCATTTTAATGTCTCAGAACCAAACAGTAGAATAGCAAGATGTAGTTCTTTTTTGCCTTCCCTTATTTCTTAAGTTTTGTTCTCAGAAAATATGCCTTTAATTCATGATCTGCATCTCGGTGTGAATTCACTCTTTTCCCTCCCTGAAGCAGACTGAAATTGCAGTATGCCATTAGTGGATCTTTTTTTAAAACAAGTTTATTGTTGAGCCTGTGTTATGGTCTACAGAGTTAATCTGTCCCTAGTCCAGTTAACATCATGTACTGGAGTGTTGGTCCGAGTCCCAGATGCTTGGATGCTGTGTCTCATATGGGACGCCTGGATAAAGTTCCTGGATTCCGACTTTGGCCTGGCCTGGCCCCAGTGGTTGTCATCATTTGGGAAGTAAATTAATACATGGAAAATCTCCCTCTCATTTTCTATCACTCTGCCTTTTTAATAAATTTATAAAACTTTCAAAGAAGTAAAAGACTAAGTTGCTTTGAATGGAGCGGGAACTCTTATCCGCCGGTGGAGTCCTCAGACTCCTGCAATAGTTAGGACTACAGCTGGGATCTGGGGTGCAGTGCAGGCCTCCCACACAGGCTGTAGCAGCACTTCTGTATCCTTGGGTCTCTGTTGGCTGGAAGATGGGGGCAGAAGCCAAAGGTGGGAATCAAACCTAAGTCTTCCCATATGGTGTAAGGCTGTCTTAACCTTTACGCTAAAACCTTCTATAAGTGGATTTTTAGAAACAAAAACCAAAATAAATGAACAGAAGCTTTTTATTTGACATTCTACTTAGTTGATTAGCTATCTGGACTATGGTTCAGGTCACCATTTTTTTGATTCAGTGAGCAAAAGTATGGTCCATGAGGAAGCATTAACTACATCATTAAGACTTTATGCTAGAAGAATGAATGAAGGCATGGGAGATGCAAACAGCCAATCATTGTTCAAGTATGTCTGGCATCTAGACTAGGTACAACCAATGTTTAACTGCTCTCCTGCTAGTCAGAAGGGATCTATCTCTATCAGTCATCAAAAAGTAGAAGAAAAAAGCTCACTCGATTAACAGATCATCAAGCAGATAAAACCGCTCTGAGGGACCAGCAACAAAATTACCACAATCTGTCTGGTATTTTACAGCTTATAAATTGCTTTCATAATTGAATTATCAAGAACTTTGAGAACAGTGAAAGATATAATTTGATGCTTACAGGAACTCCATAAACAACCTGCATGCCCAATGTCACAGACAGAACAGTGATGGCAGAAATGATGAAAAGCAAAGATGCCGCGGGCCTGGGGTGGGGAGCTTGTGTGTCCGGTCCTTGTTCAGGGCCCTCTTGGCTCTTTCTGCTAAACCGTGCTGTTTGCTCTGAATGCCTTACACCTGTGCCTCCCTTCGTTATGGTGGCTGTTGGAGCAAGCATCTGCAGAATTTGCTTGGTTGTGAAACCAAGACCAACTTGGTGGGAGTTTTAAGAATGTCTTTCCATCCGTGACCTGCTGTGTCTGATTGTGTATCAGATGAACTCACTCTGTTTTGGGGAGGGTGGATGTTCCCCGTGACAGAATGGTGGTAAGAATCCTAGAACTTATCTAGCTGGACAGGTGATTATACTATCTCTTGGCTCCTGCAGGAAAAATGTGTCCTATCATTCCCACTAGGGTTGGAAAGGAAATGACAGCAGATCCTCTCTCAAGAGTGTCTAAATGATCTGGGTTAACTCAGTCCTTAGCCATGAACCGGCCTAGGACTGTTCATTTGGCAAATGCACTCTGAATGCCAGGCATGTGGGGACACAGAGGTAAATCTACGCCCAGCGTTCATTGAGTAGAAAGGCAGAACCAGCAGCTCAGCTGTGCTTGTCAGCAATAAAAGTGGAGAAGCTTATAACAGACACAACACGACTTCAAAGCTGTCCTGAGAGATTTCCACTATGCAAAAACTGGGCATGGGTTTCAAAGATCCTCTTGCATTAAAATTATCTCCATGCATTTTTTGGAAGCCCCCTTACATAAGCTTCCTTGCAGTTTTCAGGAAAGAATTCTCTGAGGGAATACTGTTTTTTCTTGTTCCGTTCTTTTGTTTGTTTTGTTTTGCATATTAGAAGGGTTGGGAGGTGGAATCAGATAAAAGCTTTCTCAGGACACAAGATGGCATGAGAGATCTAGTTTACAGGAAAAAAGCATCTGAGCATTGCTGGAATAGAGAGAGAAAATTAAACAGTGGAATAAGATAGGACAACAGAGAGGGTACATAGGGAGAAGAACTTGAGAGACTTGGGGAGACTGCCCTTGAGCTGGTGGCTTTTATCCCCCAGGCAAGGAGGACGCATTGAAAGAGTTAAGCTGGAGGGTCACAGGACCACATCTGTGTTGTGACATAATTTGACAAGTTGAGAAATGAGAACTCAAACCTGGGCATGTGTCTACTTGATAAACCCAAGTGGGTGAGTACCGAAAGCTCTGCGATAGTCAGCATGCAGGAACCATGACATGATTAACAGTGCAAGGGCTCATTAGCCACTTGACAGATCCAGTCATTTGTCTGCAGGTGCTAAATTTTGATAACTCTAATGTTCTCTGTCAACACCCATCTGCAGCGAAGCCTGGGTTTCCTGAGGTCCTTACGGGAGTGACCTGTAACTTGTGATCCGCCTGTCATTGTGAGACGTTGAGAACGACGTGCATTGTGGTCATTACAGACTGCAGTAGTCAGGAGAGCTGAAAGACTGGCGATTTCGCAGTTTTGAGCTCAGTTCCACAACTGACTGCTGTCTCGGCTTTGGCTGAATCATGTAAGCAGTAAGCCTGGGCTACTGGAAACAGGCTGGTAACTTCTCAAATCCAGTGCCTGTCTCTGAAACTGGGCTATGACTGCACACAGAGCTGAGGTGGTATGGACCTTCAGTACACTCATTACACACTGCATAATTGCTGCTCCAGGCGTTTTTTCCAGCCTCTGATTACATCAAGATGGAAAACCATTCTCTCTGACTTTCCTCTCTGCAAATCTACCTTTCCAATAAAAAATAGTTTTGAAAAAAAGATGTTTAATTTGTAGCAGAAGGTCTTGAAATCCAGATACTGAGTCTCTAGAAAAAGTTTGTGGGGACACTAATGAATGAACCGTACAGATTTCAAAACTTTGTTGTGCCAAGAAAAAGCTTATTTTAAATAAGTTTTGTTTTCCATGAATATTTTGAAACACCCTTGGAATTAAGACCTGATACATTTTTTTGATTAGAATGCAATTGATAGAGCAGCATAGAACACCACTCTTCTGTTTATGAATTGAGAGTTTAAGACAATGATGCAGGCTCTTTGAGCCTTCCTCAGCTTATGTGTTCAGTGGGGGCAGTATATGTCGACCTGGGGAAACAGTGGAAAGGTATGGAAAGCACCTGGTATGGTTCCACACAGTAGTTGAATAACTGACACATCTTCTTCAGTGATTACTCCTAGGCAATGACCTGAAGGGACCCCAGTGATGCCTAAGTCAGAACTGAAGCAAGTTAACTGACAGGAAAATGATCTGGTAGAGACAAGGCTCTCGGAGAACAGGCACACTGTAGCACTGCTATGCAAGTTGGATGAGGTAGGTGTGTGAACGGGATGGAAAAGGTTGCTATTCAAAACGGCGTCAGGGGGCCAGCGGAGAGAGTCTATTAGTTCTTGGGTCTTTCTCCATCAAGGTCATGCAGAAGTCAATCACCTGGTGATGCACGGATGCCTTGACACCGTTACTCATAGACCGTCGTATGCCATCTTAACCAGGTGTTAGCATCTGGACTCACACTTGACCTGCCACCTCCTTCTGGAGCTTAGATGCATGGTGCTGTGTGTGTAAGTGACAGGGGTGGCTCTAATAGGAGTGTGTGGCGACAGACTTGACTCTGGCATAAAGAAATGACAGCACATCAGAGCAGACACGAAGAGAGGCCTATGGTAGGAACTGACCACATATGTGTACCTGAAAGGCCGCAGAGCTGGCCTTGAAGCGGTCAGCAGAAAGGCATGGGCCTAAGCCAGGCTCGACTCGGTGTGCTGACATTATGGAGTCGCTGTTCTGTACACACCTGTTCTATTCTTTCTGTGTGGGAAGAGGTTAACTGTTTCCAGAGTTTACTGTGTTACCAAATGCCCAAATTCCCTTTTTGAATCGAACGTTACATAAGTATTTTGCTCAAGAATTAGGCTTAACAGCAACTCTTAGGATTAGTGATCATTTAGTTCAATGCATGCTGTTTTTAACCATAATGGATGCTTTTCAGAGGCTTGGAGGATGGGATGGACATGGAACAGTGGCAAAGATGGGCTGGCCTGGTTAGGTGTTTAGTTTGCCCATTCTTTGAGGGTCAACTCCAGACAGTCTGTCATCTAATGCTGTGAGATAATGCATCTAATGCTGGGTCTGTCTTCGGGGTTTGTCTAGCAAAGTGGGTCATTAGAAGGACCTAAAAGTGCCCGTAATGACACAGCATGCACATACAGTGATAAGTCAGACCATTTTCCAACAAACTTCATTTATCACTGTCCACAGGGCAATCATTTCTTATTTTTTTATTAAAAAAAAAAAACAATCCGGAAAACTGGGTTACTACAGTAAAACAGAGGCCAGAAACATTGAAAGACGCAGAAGGTGGGTGATGAGTCAGGGATTGTGAGGTAGGTAAAAGCGGCATTTAGCATCTCTTAAATGTTACGTGAATTTGAAAGCTGGCACTTGATACCACGCATGACTCTAGGAAAACCCTAGCCCGATTGTAAACTTTGGGGCTGTGCAGGAGAAAATGTATTCTCGTCTCTCCTCAGTCCTAATTAAGACATTTCAACAAAAGCTTGTCCATTACCCCATTGGCTTTCCTGCATAGCTCATCACTTCCAACATTATTACACCATGTGTATATTGTACACTAGCTGCTGCAGTTTCACAAGGGTCAGGATCTTTATCCATTTTATCTGTTACATTTTCATCAGAACCTAGAGTAGTGTTGAACATGGTAGAGCTAAAGGTTAGTTGTAGCATGGATACATTATGCTGGTTGGCCGGAAGAGGCAAAACGAGATGTGAGGGCTGAAGTGGGGGTCATTATTACGCTGTCTGTTGAATCCCGGCTGGCAGCACATGGTGGCTCACGCGGGAAACGGGGCTGGAGCCTGGGGCTCCTTTCTTGGACTGGCTAGGCTTGGGCTGCTTCAGGTACTTGGGAAGTGAATCAGCAGATGGACGATATTCTCTCTGAATGTTCCAACAGTGGGAGACGTTTCCATTAGATTTTTAGAATGTCACTCTGAGATCAGTCATCCTGCATCACGCCTGTGGTTGCCTTGGCAGGACTAGGCTGAAAAGCAAACTTTGCATATGGCCCACTGCTGATAGATGAAGATAAATATTTAGAAATATGAAGTTAGAAATGTCAAACTCAGGAGGTCTTCATTCATGGAAAGTATTACCAAAAAACTAACCATTTGATTCAAAAATTCTTTTGAACCGAAACAAACTTTTCTTTTAATATTTTTTCTAGGAATTGTTCTGAAGCCCTTTGGAACCTGGAAATGTGCCAGACATTCGAGCATGCCAATGTGATGGAAACTAATTATGGAAATCCAGGTATGGCTAATTGAATTTAATGAATTACAATTAAATAAAAAATTCAATTCCTTAATCACAGTAGCCACAGCAAAAGTTCTCCGAGCTTCTCTAATTGAGCAGAACAAACAGAACATTTATATCATCACAGAAGACTACTGGACAATGGTATTCTTGAGGCTGCTGGAGTGGCCAAATTGTCCACCTCAGGCATTGCTGGGATATTTGGATGAAAAATTCTAAACTGTGCTGGTTGTGTCATTCTGGTTTCTCTCGCTTGCTTTGCCTTTGGTTATGAATGTACCCCTGGGTGAAAGCTGAAGGGCTGCCAAGAATTATGGGGGCTGCCACATGGTCAGGGAGCGCGTCTGCCAACTTTATAAGAAAAGCACATCCTGTGTGTCCCTTCCAAGTGGCATTCCAGCAGGGAACACCATCAGGAGTGGGGCTGGAGGGATCGCGGAGATGTTGACTCGTTCAGTTCCTGTGTAAGAGAATCAGCTGCAGTGGGACGAGCACATGTTGGCTTAGTATTGATGTGAAAGAAGAGAAGATGGAGGCCGGGACGGCTTCCTCCCTTCTCTAAAGTCGGTTCTGAAGGAAGCAAAATAAACCGCTTATGGTCCGCTGCCTTGGGCAAACGGCAAAGCCGTCAAGGGCACTGGTTCTAGCATTAGTTTGCCCTGGGCAGATCCTTCTTCAAGCCTGAGATGTCTAACAAATTTCCTGACCTTTCTGTCCTCAATTTCCTCATGTTTAGAAAGGGGGTGATGATCAAAGCTACCTCATAAAGTTAATGAAATTGAGTAGATGTCAAGACCCTTCTGCTAGAAGCACTACAAAATACTAATTTTACTTTGTCAGGCATGCTGATGGTCAGAGGTTCTGGGAAAGAAGATGAGCAGATATAAATTCTCACCTGCAAGTAATTTGTCATGTACCAGTCTTTGAGGTGCTCAAAAAGGCTCTACTTTTGTTGTTTTATTTGTTTTTAATATACAATGTGTATTGACAGAGGGAGTTGCTCATTTGGCTTTTCCAAATGTAATCTCCAGTGAAGAGCTTTTTGCCCTTTGTCTCCTACAGATTGGGCTTGTGTGGAAATGCTGATGTCATCTAATAACTTAAGCACTGTTGGGATTTATACTGCTTATGCTTTTAAAAATAGACCACATTTGTAGGCAGTTGAGATTCTTCCCTTTCTTACTGGATTCATAATTCACTGTATTATTGGATGAATGCTGGGTAATCTTAACCGTGTGAGTATTAGATGTCTGGCTTCATTGTGATGTAAAAGTAGACATTCGGGGCAAGCTGACTGTCAATTCCTTTCTTTGTCTCAGTGGACACTGTTGATCTGTCACAATTCCCTTTTCTCTGAGTTCATGTGTGGTCTACGCTTCATTCTTAACACGTCTCATTGCTAACTGATTACAGCTGACATTCAAGATGAAAACTTTGCCATTCCTGCACTAGAGGCAAATAAAATTTCAAATATGCCATCAACTGGTAAAACCCTAAGCTTGAAGGTTTAGGTCTGTCTCTAACATGCTGAATGTGGCTTCTGTGGATTTAGACCAAGGAATAGATTGTTTACAGTATACTCAAGACTTAGGGGTTTTTGCTTATGAATTTAATATTCTCCCCAAAGTACAATCAACAACAATAAATACAATCGACTCTAGGACAGTTCAACAATTAGGACAATAAAAGATTTCAAGAAAATGACTTTTCTAGAAGAGAGGAACTGATGTGAATTTTTGTACAGTTCCACACGAGTGCCTTTTTAGTGTGGAAGGTTAACAGCAGGCGATCAATGCTGAGGAGTTCGCATCATGCCTGTGGTCCAAGGTCAACACCTAAGATTTGCATAAGGAATGTGGGAAAATTCAGCAACATCCAGGTGCCTCACTCAGACAAATTTGAAATGCATTTTGTGAATTTTAAAGCCCTCACTATAGATTTACATGAGAGAGAGAGAGAGTGTGAGTGAGTGAGACAGAGTGTTTATAGTCTTTCAGGACTCAGGAAAAACTTGTGTAGTGCTCATCTTGCCATAGGGATATAACGGTGTCAATAGAGCAAGGGAAGAAATCACCAGATAAGGGGATGATCACGTTAGACGGTGATTTACTTCTAGGATTATGTTGATTTCTCTTTTTGAAATATGAGGAATAATACAAAACATTTAGTAATGCTAATGCAAAGATATAGCTGATGGCAGTTTAAGTGTACTTAACAATCTAAAACATGATCGATGAAGAGACAGATCTTACGGCACAGAACTTGTATCAGTGAATTTTGACAGTAAACCAGAAAGGATGCTGGCTTGGGGCAGTAGGCTGTGTGTCCTAGGACAAAGCACTTCCTTTCTCTGATCATCTGTCCACCGCCTGCCTATCTGTAAGATGTGTAACCTTTCTTCTATGGGCATTGGGTGGGGAAGTCAAGATGCTGTTTGGGATATGTCCAGCTTCTTTTAGAGTGTCCAGCTTCTCTCAGGTTCCTAACAAGCACCGTGTGGTCTACACTACCTGTGCTTCAAGAGTTCAAACTCAGTTTCTACTTTGTTGTATTAAAGAGGAAAAGAGTGAGCAGAAACAGAGGGAAAAACCCACCTGCTCTGGCCTCCTTGGTGTTGTGTTTCGTTATGAGCGCAGTCTAGGACAGCTGTTAGGAAACGTCCTGCTTCATGAGGCACTTAGAACTTGCCCTTCTTCTCCCCCACCACATTCCCATGGCAAACATCCTTTAGGTAACTTGTTGATGGCTCATTCTTATGTGAACACTTAGCTGAGCTACTGAAAGCTTAATACACGAATCCCCCCTTTTACAAGCTTTGAATGAACACAGCCTTCACATATGCCATGGTCTGCCTGAGCCCTGAGCCGAGGCACATCACCTACCCGCCTTCTTCTGAATATTTATGCCCAAATGCCAGGATGTCGGATGCCCGTCCACTCCCATCACAGACGACGACGGGCACCGGAGGAGTGTCTCGAAGGTATTCCAGAACAATCGAAATCACGTTGGGTCCTCCTTCCACGATGAGTGCCACCACTGGGACGCCTTGACCAATTCCTGCATTAAAAAAGGAAAATAAAAGGAAAAAAGGGGAAGAGAACAGAAAGCCAGCAAACCAAAGGAAAAAAAAAGAAAAGAAAAACAAAAAGCACAAACTAAAATTACTGAGCACGGGGGAGGTAACAAGATATGGAGGGATGAAATGTTGCGTGGAAATGTACAGGAGATAGCTCTGTGGTCTCCCCACCAGGGTCCGTAGGACTTTGCCCTCTCCCCAGGATGGGCTGGTCAGACTGACTAACAGGTGCCCCACGGGTAAGGAGGGAGAGAAGAAAGTACTAAGCCAGCAGCCAAAAGATTGGATCTAAGCAAGTGGTTTAGTTCTTAGATGAAAAATGGGAAGTGAAAATTGGCAACCTCCAGAAGTTGTCACAATGGCAAAGAAAATGGCTAAATTTCTTTTTATTAAACTCTCAGACTCTGCCATGGGTTGCTTTTTCTTGTTAAATAGACTCCTGGCTGAAATAGGTGTGCATTTTTTTCCAATCACAGATGATCAATTTAATCACTGATTCTTAACAGCTAAAAGTCATAACAGATTCTCCCAGAGACAAGGTATCTGCCGTTACCATGTCCTGCCCTGCTAGGCAAGGCGGTAGGCACGCGATGGTTGGTCAATGCCCATTTGCTGAATGAAGGGGTTCACAGGTCTTTCTGAAAGTATTTAAGCTGTTTATGCTGCGCTGGCAGGCATTGTACTTTCAGGCCAGATTTGCTCTCCTGTCCGTACTGTGTGGCTCAACGTGTTGGAGGAAGCATTAAATTGCCCGTGAGGCACGAGAAGGAAATGCATTTCCGAGTGCCAGTCCCAGCAGCGTCGCTGCTCGCTGAGTAACTCCTCCTCGCCCATTTGATACCACATACTGTTTTCTCAGCCGGGCTCCTCACTTTGGTTGGGAAATTGAGTAATACTGTAAAAATGCGATAATTTTTTAGGGTACCCCTAGCAGTTACTTGATAGAAGTAGCAAAAACTCATTTAAATATGGTTTGAAAAACATTCTTGGTAGTCGAAGGTGTTTCTCTAACCCTTCTGGCTATGGTTCAATTTTAAGCCAAGAAACTGCTTCCCAATAACAAATAATAATTTGGGATTTGGTGTTTTGCTTTGAGCAAGAGATTATAGACTTGACTGACGTGACCTGTTTTACTTCTAAAATGGAAGTATTTTAGTCTCCCAGGGCCTGATCGAAGTCCGTGCTTCTCAGAGTTGAGTTTTTTCTCATAAAGGAGTGATCTAACACATCAGTGACTCAAGATGGGTGCTGTTTAAACCACACTGAAACATGCTAAGAAAATGGGGGTCACTACTAAGGCCAAGATGTCACAGTTTGTGTTGCTTCACAGAGGGGTGTAGAGACGGCAGTCCCTGGCATCCCCTCCCTGAAGCTATGTGGGTCAGTGCCAGGAAATGGGTGGAGCAATGGACCGCCCTCTTCCAGGATTTCGGAATTTATCCTTGCCCTCACATTCTCCGTTTCCTTCAGTGAAAGCACACAGAGTTGTTTCTTAGAAAATAAAAGCCCACGAAGCCTGATTCATTTATATTTCCAATTTATAACAGAGAAAACATAAGAACATTCCTACAAATAGGCTTAGTTTAAATAAGACGTGGTTAACACCAAGATTTCTTTTTGGTGTGAGAACTACAAATGCAGCAACAAATACACAGGTGCATGATAACACAGACAGATCTACATCCACACACACACACACACAAACAGCCTCACAATGCCTTTGTTCCTGACACAGGGAAATTAATTAGTAATGATTGAAAGCAGTAGTTCTGAGTTTTATTTATTCGTTTTTTGGGGAGCTGAAAATCTTTTGTGACTCGGATGAAAGTTTGTGACCCTCTGTGTAGAAGAGCAGCCACGGGTGTTGATAGGCTGTAAGATGTCTGTAACGCTGTGAAGGGCTTCACGGCTTCTTGAAGCCTACTGGTGGGTGCGTTAGCAATGGACTCTGGGTGCATCTTCAGAGAGCAGCAGATTGGACTAATTTGTGGAGTTCACTAAGAGCTGGGAATGCACTTACAGATGGCTTTCAAGCAAACCTCTACCCCCAGAGGAATCGGAGAAGTTATTGCTGCTGAGGTGCACCCATGGGCTGCACTTGCGGGTGAAGCACTGTGGGCCCCCATCACCTCCCTTAACGCTTTCCTTTTTCATTATATTCTAGTCAGACTTTATTCTCCAAATTATTTTTAAAATCTCTAGAAAAAGTTATTTGCAAAACTTCAGTGAACATATGTAGGCTACAACTTCAGAGTAATGAAATGGTTTTCCTTAAAATATCACAAATAGTCTGATACCTTTTATATCACTAAAATACACCTTGGGAATGGACAGTGCAAACAGGCTGGATTCACGGGGCTCACTGACATTTTCTTTGATTTCAATAAAATTCCTTGGAAGGGTCTCACAGAGCAATGTCTTAACTCAGTTAAAATAGGATTTCTACTATTTTGGAGAAAAAAAAAATGATTGTATCTGTGTCCCTCAGGGACTCTTCTATGAACATTTGCTCTTTTGGTTTTAGGGAGAAGTAGGTTAATTCCTTAGTGTCCGCAGTTCTCTCTCACTTTCTACCAAAGACTTGCGGTTGTGTTCAGAGGTTTCCATTAGGCTTTAAGGAGGGACAGACAGGGAGCTTGCCACATTCGCCAACTTTCCCAGTTCGGGAACAGAAAGCATTACTGGCTTCAAATGTGTAAGCTTGGATGATGGACTTAGCAACTGCAGAGTTGACCTAGAGCTTCCAATTCTGTATGGAACCCTAACTCTTTGTATAAGATAGCCTTACACACTTGTCACGTGATTCAGCCTGGGTTCCTACTGAAGCCAAAATTAAATAAATAGAAATGTATCTAAACTGGCTTAACTCGGGGCCTGGCTGAGCATTGTTAGGAAAATGTGTGGCAAATATAGGTGACCTTAAAAATTACAAAAAGTGGTTATCTCTCTGTTGACATGAAATCAGAATTGATGATCGTTTCAAGAATGTGTGAAAGTATTTTGATGTATTGTGGTAGGATCCCTGGATAAATGAAAATTTTGATAAAATGAACACTAAACTGAATTAATCCTGATGTAAACCCGAAGTGCTCCCAGGCCCAAGGAATGATTTATTTCCTTGCTGTCAGAAAGCGTGGCATGGATGATGGCTCTTCTTTCATTTTCACAGTAGCGGACAGCAAGCCTGGTGCCTATGGTATCGCCCTCTAGAAAAGGGTTGGTTCACTGTATGTGAAAGACGGTTTCCTGAAAGCCTTGAGCAGTACAAGAGCAGGTGTGTCAGGGGTGGCGGCTGTGGCTGTGTCTCAGCTAATGTGATCGAGCTCTGACAGGAACACAGGCCACTGGTCTGAGCAGGGCTGGGGTGATGTGCTTCCAGAGAATGTGTCTTAAATATTCATATTTTAAGGATTTACCAATAGTTGATGTTGGAGAGTTTTAATGCCAGCTATGTAAAACACATGTTACTGATATAAATGGAGACATAAACACCAATATCATAGCAGAGCATGAACATAAAAATATTACAGATGTGGGTATTATTTCTTCATTCAACTTTTTATGTGAACAGCTTGTTTTTTTTTTTTTAATTCTGTGACTAATTCTATCAGTGGAAACCAGGTCACCTTTGGTTATGTGGGGTGTAACCTACCAAAATAGTTTTTCCATCAGAACAAATTTGAAGAACAGCAGCAATTGCTGTGTAGTAACAGAAGCACAATCAAGTTGTCTCGTTTTAATGGGCATCAGTTTACTGCCTACTTTGTCTCAGCTCCTGAAGCCAGGACATTGCTTTAACAGTTTCAGAATCAGATGCCTGAAACCATGAAGCATTGATCCCATGTCTCCTCTGGTCTGGACAATGTACCAGCACTCAATATCCTTTCCCACATCTCTACCTGCTCGGCTCTGTTCCAGAGGCCTTGTCCCATCTCACTCTCAGATGACACTTTTTCTTTCCCTGGGCTGCCTGTCTGGAACTGAAATGCCGCCTCTTTGTTCTCAAATTCAGAGTCTGTTTTGTGACCCTTCCCACACCCATGGTTTCTGGCTCTGTGGACTCTCACTTCCTTGTTTGACTTTGAGCACGTGTCAACTGAGTCTGTTTTATCTCCTCTTTACTGGAAAACTTTAGAGCATGGTAGACATAATAGAGGACATCCTTGGTCCTTCAACCAGCTTGCTAAATCCTTTGGATTCTGTAGGCTGGAAAGAGATGCAAATGCAAATAAATAAATAAAAACAATACATCAACTCCAAGTTTATTATATGCTCATAAATCGACTAGGCTTTTGACTTAATCAATAGAAGCAGTTATTCCCTGGCGTCTGGTTGATTGTGATAGAAATATTGTGTTGTTACTGCCAATATATTACTAGGACATCCAAGCAATTTTCCCATGAATAATTTCAATAGAAATGTGATGGCCAATCCCCTGAGTCGAAAAGCAAGTATTACTTTTAGAAAAGGAAAACTGCCAGTATTATTTCCTTTGGGGCCCTTGTATAAAGGTTGAGTGTTTTAATGTAGTCGATCTAAGCTTTTACAAGAAAGTTCTGTCCAACAAAGCTATTGTCTTTCTAGTCTCTAACCTGTTCAACTCCCACACCAAGACTGACCTGACTTCGCAAATGTAAGGTAGTCAGAGTAGTTCTAGTCCCTTTTACTCTATCTTACTTTCACACACATTATCATACAAGTGTACTAGGGTCTAAGTCCACAGCCTGTGCAGACTTCTTGGCTTCTTGGCAAATTTGGTAAGCAGTAGAGCTGCCCTGGGAATTATGGGTTTAAAAATTCCTGGGAAGACATGACCTGTTCTTTGGGGAAGAGCTGGTGGGAGATGGGAGGGTGCATGTTTGGACCTGGACAGAGGGGCTGGATGAGGGAGATTGTGCTAGTTTTGCTAACTTGGACTTTACAAATTATACTTAAGAAGTTGTTTTCTTGGTAACTGTTAAGGGTGCCTGCAGTGATCCTC